TGATTCATTTGATTGTTTTGGATGGGAGGACAGCAGAAGTGGTGGTGATACCGAGTTTACAAATGGGTGTAGAATATTCATTTTTCACTTCTGCATATAACAGGAATGTTGAGTTTATGTATTCTTTTACACAAAACATTGAAGAAAGGAGCAGGTAAGAGAAAAAGGTTGTCAGTTACTATTTTAAGTAGTGTAGGCTTTTCAGTGTCCTACCTTAATGGTTGTATTGTCAATCTAAAGACTGGGAATGAAACCTTGGCCCTGTTGAAATCATAAGCAAACCTTCCACTGGGTGTTCTAAGGTGCTCATGAGACACATAATAGGCAGGGACTCCTGTGAAATGCTCTGTTCTCACAAAGCCTGATAGTACATGTGCAAATGAATCTGATACTGACACAAGATAGGCACTATAATAAAGGGGTTATAAATTATAGTATTTTTGTGGACTGAAGCAAAGAACAAGACTGGGGTATTTCGAGGAACTGCAGATCTACTCAAAGTTTTAATGAAATGCAGCAAGTTGAAGAGGAGGTGCAGAATCAGAAGCAAAAGGCAGAATCCATCTAGGCTTGCCTGAAAGAATATGGTGGTAAAAAATAGCATGAGCAAACACTAGATAAACTGGCAAAATGGTAATGTGTGTATTAGGAGTAAAACAGCACTAGAGAAAAATTGGACTGTTCTGTAAAGACAGGAAAGGAAACAAATGGATATTGATTACTACAATGACACTAAAGTGAAATTTAATAAGTAATTAAAACTTTACACTACAGCATGTTATAGAAAGTAAAGGCATGGAAGATGTAAAAATACACACATCATCCATTCATAGTCAAACGTGCACGCTGGGTTTTAGAGGAATATGATGCAGTTAGAGCAATGCTGTCGTTTTTGGTAAATGTTAGAGAGCATTTGTGGAGGGGATGGGTTATGATCCTTACGGCATAAAGAGGTTGATACTTCTTATAATCATCCTGCAGCTGAAAACTTGTCTTTGAAAACTGTTGGAACTGATATTGAAGAAAATACTGGAACTTAATAAATGTTAAAGGAACCTTCAGATAAGATTATAATATTTGTCTCAATTAACAACTTCTTTTAATAAGTTTTCAAAACGTCATGGATGAGAGAAAGTCTTGTTATAGGAATGAAATCAAAGTATACAAGAATGATGAAGCTAAAAACTTAATTTCATAAAAAATTCCTATAACAAGACTTTCAGCCATGATGTTTTGAAAACTTATTAAAAGAAGTTGTTAATTGAGACAAATATTATAATATTATCTGAAGGTTCCTTTAACACAAATACTTTGGATGGTAAGACAATTGTCTCCTTCATTCACTACCTGCAGGGGATAAGCGAAGGCCTGCCCCAATAGCTCACCCTGGCCCCTTCACTGCTCTGTGCTGGATGGGTACCTGGAGCAGGCACATCCGCTGCCTGTGAGGATTGAAGGGTGGCTGTGTGTTTAAAGACAGCTGTATCTGTGAAGGAGACACACTTAATGTTGCAAGGGCAAACTTAATTCCAAGAGCTCTCAACTTCTGCAGTAATAATCTTTCTTAAGCCTGGGGGAGAGCTGGCTCTTAGTTTTTGTTTTGCCTCGCAGAATATGTTGACAGCCACTGAGTCACTGGTAGATGTCTTCACCTTTAGCTGCACTACATAGAGGGTTGGGATCTAATCTGAAGGGAGCAGTGGTGACTTGCCACCCTCCATAAGGTCCATAAGGACCGACCAGTGCATAGGATGAGAAACGTTTCCTCACCAAGTCTGTCTTCTCCGACCCAAGAGATCATAGAACACTCTACTGTTTGTTCTTTCCCTGAGATCTTTGGAGGGAGGAGGGAACAGGCAGCACTGACAGCTAGGGTGGGTCCCTGTGGATTGTCCCAGTAATTTGTCCAGGCACAGTCATTGCTCTCTCAGTCTAGCCCTCTCATATTCAGGTATCTCAGTCCTTGGTCCAGATTCTTGACTTGAAGTGTTCGCAATAAATTCTGAGTATGTCCAGGTCCCTTGCTTTCCACTGACCACAGTCCCCCTCAATTCCAGTGTTGTCTGAGACCCCGCAGCTCCTGGTTACTGGATTTATAGCCATATCTGAGGCTCTTCATCCCTCTACCTTTGTGAATTGGAGGGATATCACCTAAGGGAAAGAGGAGTGGCTCACCTGAATAGAACACCTGGAGAGGTGCAGTGACGGCAGGATGGTGAGAAGGAGGGAAGGAAGGATGCAGTGCAGTGAGGATCACTCTCCCAACACGCACACAGACGCTCCAGTGCTTGGAGGTCACTAGTCCAAAGGACAGAGACTCTTTGGCTTGTATCCATGTTACCTCCTGACCTTGTTTCCTCTTCTGCCCTTCAGCTCCTTCTGCCTCATTTCTGTCTCCATTGCTTTTTTAACTCATTGTCCCTCTTCCTTTGTCTGGCAAATTCAAGGCAGCCTCCATACACTTTGTAACTCCGCTCAAGAAGCCTTGCCCTGCCCATCATGTGCTCCTGTTTATTCCCCGTGTGCTCCTAGTCTGGTGACATTCAGATGCTCTCTCTGACAGCGACACGTGCCTTGCTTTTCATGAATGTCCAGTGTCACCCTGGGAAATTAAAATTCTCTGCCTCAAAGCATGGTATTCAAGAAGTATTTTCAAGTGTTTTATGTGAGAACATAAACCATGTATTTTTCTGTGACCTCATTCTAAGACATAGTTGAACTATTTCTGCTGAATTTTCCAGAGAATTTCAGCCTCAGGCATACATATGCCCTGGAAAATTTCAGCCTAAATGCCTGAAGTTTGGCAAAGTTTATATGCACCTGAAAGTAGTCTTAATAATGGAAAATGTCAGATTGTTTTAGCAGTGTAGCTATCTGCCTTATTTATATTTAAGAACTGGATACAGAAAAGAAATTACTACATTCAAAATTAATTAAACTTGAATTTAAGTAAATGTGGTTATTGAAGATGAGACCTGGAAATTATACCCAGAAACAGAAGATAGCAATGGAAAGTGCTGTTTGGCTTCATGGGAATCTAATGGAGGAAACTCAAGACTTGCTTTGAACAAGGATTTTTGTTTGAGAAGAGGATTATTACAGGTTATGCACAGGACATTAAAGCAAGAAATAAACATAGATAAAGTGTTGTGGTCTATAGGAGGAAATGTAAGCTGTCCCCTGTGACACTGTAAGAAGGAATCTGTAGTTCATCTGCTTAGTCTTTGTGTTTTTAGTTGAAACTGTGGTGAGAGTGCATGATGATCTAAAAAAAAACCCCAAAGTTGAGAATGTTGTTGTGGATCAGGTGATCTGAAGTGGTTGAGGAACCATTGATTTTGGAAAGTATAAAATATAAATAGTAAATTACCCAGGGACATTTAGTAGCAAAAAATAGAAACTTCTAATCTGGCTACAGAGCAGGCAAACAATAAAGGGAAAATTGCTGAGTAATACTTACCCAAAATTAGCAGTGAATGTGGAATTTGCTATGGTAGCAAAAAAGGGCAGTCCACTTCTGAAGTGAATGGAGGTGTCATGTGAGGAGGTTATCATTTCCACCTCCTCAGGTGTAGTGTGCCCATATTCAGAATACTTTATTAGTTTTGGGTGACATTCCTGGAAAATTGGTATTGGTAATGGTGGAGACAGCTGGGAAAAAAAATTAAGTTTCATGGATTTTATTTGCAGTAAGGAAAGAATAATAGTTCATTAAGCAGTGACTGTTTTGGAAAGGGCATATTTTGGATAGGAACAGAAAAAGTAGTGTGTTAATGGTACAAACAGCAGTGATGAGAAGAAACAGGGATGGGAGTGGGAAATGTTAGATAATGTCATAATAACTATTACATCAGAATATAATAGCCAGAAAGGACTTGAAGAAGCCATGTTACATAGGAGGTTTTAAAATTAAACTGTTCAGCAGTATGATGCAGGAAGACGTGGAAAATGTGCTGCAGGAGGGAATCCTGCTCCTGGTGGGGGTGGGGGGGTGGGCTGTCTGGGGGAATTAACAGGTCTTTTTTTGGTGGGGGGGAGCAGGAAGGGGCTGTGTGCTGCTTTCATAAAGAAAAGGTTGTCATGGGCTTTTTGAAAGCTTCCCCCCACATTCTTCATGAATCTAACTAGAACTGAGGAATTGAAAAATGGATGTAGCATTAACAATACAGGGCTTCACGAAGTATGGTACTTTTTTTCTGGTTCAGTTAGTTCTCAGTAATAAAACATGAGCGTAATACTACACAATGGTTGACACCTGTCCTGAAACTGTTACAGGGCTTGGTAAGTGCTGCCAAAAAGTCTAAAAATAAAACTTCCCTCCCTTACCTCCCTTCCCCCTCCATCACTGGTTGCAGTTCGGATTTTCTGAAGTCTATTAAGGAGGCAAATAAACTTTCATGTAAAATGTGGATTATGACTTGCTTTTTGATCTGGAAACTTATTAATGTGCATGAAAGCAACAGGAAAATGCTGAAATGCAGTGTTCTGTATGCATTGCACTTCTTGGAAACTTAATCTTTTCTTTCCAGTTTCTCTTTTTTTTTATGTGAGAGAACAGACATTTTCTCAAGGTTAAATGGCTTGTCCACTGTTTATGTCTCTCTTGATATATATTTATGTTTTATTTTGTTTTTGTTTTAATATTAAGGTCTGTGATGCTAATCAGTTTGCAGCGCTGTATTTAATTATTTCTTAAGCTGAAATTTTTGGGCAATTTTTCTGGTTTCTCTTTATATAGGTAACAGACAGCCTCAAGTTTTAGTGCACAGTAATTTTATAAGTTGTTTTAAATGCAATGGAAGTCCCAAACTTACTATTCAAAACCTCGTATAATTAATCAGAGAACCGAGGCTATGGTACTTTGCCAGTTGGTACATCGAGTCAATATTTGATGTATAAAGCATTGAGAAAACACGTTTAATTCGCCCGCAGTGAGCATGACGATTCTGCCGTTTTTCTTTGCATGTCTTAAATATTCCTTTGGTTGTGTTTGCCAACAGGGCAGTGCGATGGACCCGATGGTGATGAAGAGGCCGCAGCTGTACGGCATGGGCAATAACCCGCACTCTCAGGCACAGCAGAGCAGCCCCTACCCCGGGCAGTCGTACGGCCCTCCCGGCCCCCAGCGCTATCCCGTGGGAATGCAGGGCCGAGCCCCGGCAGCCATGGGAGGAATGCAGTATCCACAGCAACAGGTTTGTGGAGGATTTTTCTGGGTTGCTTTGGTTTCCCTCCTCTCTTTCTCTCCCCTTCTGACATTCCGGCAATACGGAGGGTGCAAGAGAAAAACCTCAGAAATAAGTATTTCTTGTGCAGAAGGAGGATGAAGGACTATTTTAAAACTAAATAAATTATGTTCACAGTGGGAGTGTTTTCTGAAACCCCTTACGGTTCGAACAGGATTTAGTTTGTTGCTGGTATCTTTCTGGACAGAGAGAAGTATGTCAAATGCCATGAGTTTTCTTTTTGTTTCCAGTAGACACCACTTCTCCTCGCGTATTTTTTGGTTCTTTTCTTTGCTGTTGTTGCTATTTTGTTCCTGGTTTTTTAGGGGTTTTTATGTTCTCTTTCTCTCTGGCTTACATACACTTAAATGTAAGATGAAAACCTAGAGCTGAAATCAGTACATCAAGGCTAGTGTGGTCCAGTGCATACAAAAGTGTTACATATTTATATCAGTTGTTTGTTGTTGTGGTGGTTGGTTTTCTTTTTTCTCCTTGTTTTGATAGGAGTCTGTAGCTTTTCCTATTTTTTTTTCCTTTTACCAACTCTTTAAAGTCAGGATTTTTTTAAATGTACCAGAGTATATAGAAAGGTAAGGTTCTCCTTTTTATCTACTTTTTATCAGGATTCCACTGGACCTCTTGTGCTTTTTTCCTACCCTTTTTAAGAAGGTCAATCTCAATGTGCATACCATGTATTAAGAAAAATACTGCAGTTTTCAAGAGGGAGAGATAAATCGAGGTTATAAAGAAGTTAATGTTTTCTAGGTTTTTTTTTTGTAATTAGGGATGTGAGTGTAGGCAGTGAGAGCTCTGCACCACCTTGTGAGCACAAACTTGATCATTAATGGGAAAGAACATTTGTTTTGTGCAGCTGACCAGTCACAGATTAGGGTTTTTTGGTATCATTTATTGTTAAATATAGAAAATAAAATAAAATTTTGGACACCTGGCAGGTAGGTGCCTGGCCAATTCTTGTTATTACCCATCCAATAGGACAAGATGTTAATCAGACAGTTAATTAAATAACAGTTTCAAATATATTATAGTATCATTAGCACAAGTCTTAATTTTTATTCTTTTCTGTTATTAAATAGATACTGATGAGGTAAAGATTGTTTAGTTTAGAAATGCCAAACAGTATATTTGGTTGCTAGATTCAGGCAGCAAAGCATTTTGTCAGTTGCAAAAGGGAGGAGAAATTGAATAAAGGAGGCTTTATTTTTCTCCGTGTATCTGTAACCAAAGGGAAGTTATTAAAACACATTTTTAATTTAAAAATGAGTTATTCTGTGTTAGCAGAGAAGAGCGTTGAATTTTCAGTGCATTCGCTAATTGCTGGGTAATTGTAAATGACCCGTCAGCAGGCAGTGACCTGGCAGCGCCATTGGCTGCCGGCCCCATCCGTCTCCTCGCCGCGCTGCCCGGAGTGGCTGCACGGCCCCAGCGCCGGCGCTCTCCGGGGAGAAAGGGACAGCGTAATTATGACACTGAATTTTTATTGAACGGACATCACCACCTAGGCATGGTTTTGTTTTGGACAGCCTCCAAAGCTTCGTGTGTTTGGTTTGTGAACCTCTAATGATCTGAATCCAGTTCTTTTCATATTGCTCATATATTACCACCTTTCTACAAAGGATTAAAATGCAGGAATGCAGGTTTGTAAATTGAATTGCCAACTTACCAGCTGAGTGGTAAGTTGTCTTTGGCACAGGATGCTGTAGTTTGATTCCTGGCTGGATTTTTACTCCTGTGACATGAATATTAAATAAGGAGAGCCTAGCTACGCTTGTTAAAACTGTGCAGCACGTACCTACTTTAGATATCATATATATATATATAAAATATATAATATTGCTAGAAGTTTCAGAAGATGAATCTCAGCACTTTCTGGAAATTGGACTGCTTTACAGTGTCACATTGAATTTATCAAAAGCGCAAGGCACTTCCAAAAACTCGATTGGTTAAAAAATACTGGGCCTTAAACACATACCATGCTCAGATTTAAGTATTGTGCAGAGATAGCATTGAGTAGATGGATTATGAGGGTGGAAGTGCCACACTGTAGGAAGGGTGGGAAGCATCAATGGGAGAGATTGTTCTTATTTTAAGCTATAGTTTGCTGTTGCCCAAAGATAGCTGAGGGTGTCAGCTCTGTTTCCTTGGATGAAACAAGAAGGCTTTTTGTTAAACTGTGAAGATTTTTGAATTTTGAAGAAGACCTTGAAATGTTAAGTCTGGCTCTTTGTCAGCAAGTGTTGTGGCTTGAGGTTAGAACTATGGGACTTGACAGATTTTAACTTGCAGGCTCTGCTGCAGGATGCTGCAAATGAAGAAATAAAGATGAAAAACAACACCCTAAAGATTGAGCTAAAATTAATGAAAGTGGTAGAATTGAAGATAATTGCCTAGATGTAGTTAGCTGGTCTATGTCATATTGCAGCAGAGGATAGTGTGTTCCAGCCTGCAGCCCAGAGGTGGAAGAGCTCTCTCTCAGGAAGGGAGGCCTCTGGCATAAGCACTAAAAGATTAAAGAGCATGAAAAAGATGAAATGTTTTCAGGTGCACTCAGCCTACATATCTGCAGCATGGGTGTCAAGCACAGCCTGCTAACCAGTTTTAAAAGGAGTATCTAGGAAATGCTGTAGACGTTCTCTTACAACTGGTGTTTGGTCTAGGCATGCTTGACACCAAACATGAAGGTGCAAATAAACCCCCAGGTTCTCTTAAAATTCTGTGTGGAAACTGCAGGATGTTGAAGTGACTATGGAAGGTATGGGATATGTTCTGCAAAGGACTGAAGAGAGAAAGCAGATCCCCTAAGTGAGTTTGGAACTCATCTCTGATGAGTTCTCGATGATGAGCCCCACCACAACACGCTGGGCCTTACTTAAGGGGCACAATTTGAAATCCAAGCAATCTCTTTACACCAATAGAGCTAAAGATAAAGGGATCTAGATATATAAATGGCCGTATAGGAAAGGCAGATTGATTGTCATAAAAGTAATGGTATCCTGAGATTTTTGCATTCTTTTCTGGCAGTTAACAACAGAGATACAGATTTGTCATGTAAAGATGGGTGATAGCCTTCTGGGACAAAGTGCTAAGCAGTTTGAAGAGTACTGGAACACTTTGTAAGATTTTAAGGACATGTCCACTTAGCTCAGTGTGGGTCAAATAAATATGTAAAGCATTTGGACCGATTTGACATCTATATAAAAGGGAAGACATGAGAAAGAAAGGTGATACAAAAAGAGTCATATGCTTAATCTATAGGATTGCAGACTTGACATACCTCTTGTCAGGATGCATTAGTATGGAAAATTAATTACTTAGAAAGAGATTTTTATATTGTTAGGAAACTTGGGATTTTGTTTCTTTCCTCGCCTTTAGTGGGAGAGGGGGAGAAGGCAAGGGCGAGATGACCTGTGCCTATGTTGTCAGTCTTCATGAATGAAACACTACTTGCAACAAGGCTTTAAAATGATATTCTTACATGTAAGTCGTAATACTGCTATCTCACAATCTCATGAACTCTCTCTCCTGGTTTGCATGGAGTGAATGTAATTTTTGGATTTTTAGCACTCCTTACCCAGGGAATGTTTGTTAAACCAGAAAGCAAAAAAATATTCTTTCAGATTTAACTTTCAGTTTCTAATATCTTAGATATCACTTGGAATTACAAAGAGATAATGTCAAAATTGAAAATTCTAATATGCAAGGATAGCTAGCACCTGAAAACTTCAGGCTTGATTTTGCAATATATCTCACTATGAGTGAAATACTATGTGAGTAATAAGATCTGATTATAAAGACAATAATTTGCTTTTCATTGACTTCTTTTTTGCCTCACACCCTTTTTGGACCTCAGTCAAGCAAGTGATGATGCCATCATCAGTTCATTCTGGCTTTAGTTCGATTGCCCTCTCAAAGTGCTTTAGTTCTGTGTGCTGTAGGGAAACTTTCTGCTGCTTTGTAAAGACATTTTTGCTAAAAACAAAAAGACCTCAGAATACCAGTCAAAAAAAGGGGCTTTTTTCTCACCAGTGGTGTTGCTTTTTCATTATAATAGCATGCAGTATTTCATTTTGTGATGAATTTCATTAAGCTTAAAAATCATATACTTGAAATATTCACTTACAAATTTTGGAAGTTTTCATCAAAGTTTGAAGGCTTGGATTTATGAATATGTTTGAAAGAATTGAGTGGTGTGATGTGCCTTTTTAATCAGATGATCATTGCCTAATTGATTTTTTTTTTAGCATGCATTAAAATTCCTTGTGTACTTGATGGACTGGAACAACAACTTATTGTGTAAATAGGATCGTGTTGCTATAATGCATAGTAAATTCTTTATGAAAGATATTTGCATGGTTATGTACAACAGCCATCCCTAATAGCTATTTAAAATGGAACATTTCAGTACTGATCATGCAGTTGCCTTAGTGCCTTGAGCCTGCTTGCTGCAAGACAAGTTATGAGGCCTGAGCCTCAGTCTGCTCTTTCTCTTTTTTTTTTTTTTTGCTATGGAAATACTGTGAGATAAAAGGGTGCTAATGCTAATTATTTGTCCCTTTAACTTTTTTTTTTGTATTCTTGATTTTCGGAATTCAAAACCAAATATTATCAGTGTCCTCACTGTTTTAAGAATGGAACTGTAGATACTCAGAGAAGTACTAATTCCATTCCCTCCCTTTTTTGATATACAGATTATTTTGAGGTGTAAGGAAAATATGCCTGTTGTTGTCCTATTTGGCAAGATTCAATATGGAGTAATTTTTTTTTAAAGGGGAAAAAAAGCTGTAAAACCTCTAGGAATATGTAGCAAGGATTTATTGTAATGGAAACTGCAAGTAAACCAGAACTTTAGCATCAGCAGTGTGATTACATCATTTAGGAAAGGGTTTACAGTACCCGTATTGGGTAATATCCCAGGTTGGAAATGTCGAGTTTACGCCAAGGAAATCAGTTGG